GTTCTCTGAAAACACCCGCTCCGTGTGCACTGTAGGGATGTTACATTTAGATGAATCGTCTAATCGAATAGTCGATGCAATTTGCACCAGCTATTCAATTAGTTGATAAGGGCACCTCTGCCTATGAAGTGTAGCAGTAGCCTGAGGGCTGTTGCTACACTTTAAAGGCGAAAGCGCTGCAGGGAGCAGGGAGCCAGCGGGAGACACAAGCAGCCCTCTGCTGGCCCCGGGCTCCCCGCGGCATTTCAAAGCAGCAGCGCCGCATGGAGCCAGGGGCCAGCAGGGGAGTCTCCACTTGACCCCAAGCTGAATGTGGCGTTTCAAAGCGGCAGCGCCGTGTGGAGCCTAGGGTCTGGCCTCAGGCTTTATGAGGCGCTGCCACTTTGAAGCACCCCCTTCTTCTCCCCGACCCTTGCTTCCTCTTTCTGACAGAGGCAGCAAGGGGGAGAGGGGGAGCAACTAGTCGACTAGCTTGACGACTATCCGATAAGCATTTACTTATCGGGTAGTCGACTAGTCGTTCACATCCCTAGTGCAGTGACTGTCAAAAAAGCAAACAATGTTAGGAGTCATTAAAAAGGGGATAGAAATAAGACAGAAAATATCTCATTGTCTCTATATAAATCCATGGTATGCCCCAGGCATTGGACGTTGTGGCCAGAGTGATCACTGCAGGGCATTGTGGGACGCCTCCTACAGGCCAAGAACATCGACTTTCACAGCACTCTGTCTGCACAACCAGGCAAGGTCGAATGTAGCCGTTGGGCCTAGTGAAAGCAGGAATATCGACATTGACTTTACTGGTCCTTAAAGTCGATGTAACGGGCTCGGTAGCGTGGACTCATTGTTTAGCCTAATGTAGCTAAACCTACACTCCCAATGTGGACCAGGCCTCGGTCTGGGACAGGTCCTAAGATTTGTCATCTAAAAGAGTGGCTGAGGCGTGGGACTCTCCCTCACATCGTCTGCAGCGAAGATCAATACAAAGAATTCATTTAGCGTCTCCATAAAGCCCTTCCTTGTCTTCCTAGCGTGTGCCGTTAGCACCCCAATCGCCTCATGGCTTCACCGACTGTTTGCAGCCTTCTTGCTTGTGATGTACTTTACAAAATCGCCTTTCACTTTTGTGTCTTTTGCTATTCGCTCTTCACATTCTTTTTATGGATGACTTGCCAGTTAAAAAAAGCAACCAATGGCCTGGTAGCACTTTACAGACTCACAAAACACGTCAATGGGATCATGAGCTTTCGTGGGCACAGCCCACTTCTTCAGATGAGTGGAGTCATGAGTTTAGGATGTGTACACCCAAAATAAATAGGAGGGGGGAAGAGGAGGGGAGAGGGAAGAAAAAGGGAGGGGGTGGAAGACAGAGAGCATCAGTAAGTATGTGAAGATTGGGAAGTGACTCAAAGTCAATAGAGAGACTCCCATGTCAGGAAGGATACTACAGAGAGAGCAGTTTGCACCTTCAATGGCTGTTAAACTGGCAAGAGTTTGTGCTTCTTGTTTTCCTCAGCAGGATTTCCCTTCCACTTTGTGCAGCAGGCCTTTTCACCGCTACGCACCTCCTTCACTGCGTGGGTTAGCCGTCGCGGCTTCTTTCTGACCTCTTACTGGCTTTTTCATGCAAGCTACACGTTTCCGTGTTGCTGCTCTTACGGCGTTTTAAAATCGTTTCCATGCCTCTTGCCGGCATTTCCCCCTTGCGACTGGTCCTTTCCAGTTCGGTTAACGAGCTCCCTCAGGTTTGTGTAGCCCCCTGGACCTGTTCACTCCACAACTCGCCCCTTCTGCAAAGGGTCCTATGCACAACCGTGCCTTTCACCACGCACCCCGGCCTGAGCACCGTCCATCCTACGCCCTGCACGAGGCAGAGAGCGGTGGGAAAAGCACGCGTGCTCATGACATTCCAGACAATGTTCTCAAGTGCAGGGGAGCCACGTTCTTCCCACAGCCAGCTCACCGGACTGCTGACAATGCGTGCGCACACCCAGGAGGCAGACTAGAGCAGTAGGAGCCTTTAGACCCAGGCGTTCCTGAGCTGACGGTGGCTCATGCCCCCCCCCTTCCGGCCGGTGGAATTCGCGGCGCTACATGGACTGGCTCTTCGCCGGGACGCAGGCCAGGTTTAGGCAGCGCCAGTAGCCTCCCCAGGAATTGAAATGGGGGGGGGGTTCGAATTTACCGGGGGGGTGTATCAGGGCCTACGGGGGGTGAGACCGTGAGGGGGAAGGGGGGCTGTATGGCACCATAGTTCACAGAACTGGGGGGGTGTTGTGGAAATTCAGGGGGGTATACACCCCCATAGGGAAATCCCTGGGCTGTCCCGGCAGACAGGTCACAGCAGGGTTAGAGTTCCTAGCGCAGCCAGCGTGGCCGGCTCTCCCGGGGGAAGGTTTCCACCTAGTGGTAGGAACATCAAACTCCAACTTACTCGAGTCGCCTTTCCTTTCCGTGTGGCCCGTGGCGTCTGCCAGTGAAGGCGGCAGGGCCTGGCTCTCTCCCCACTCCGGTGTGAGAGGGTCGTAGACCCACAGAGCATGAGATCTGGCAGGGCCCTGGAGCGGTCGAGTCCAGACCCCTGCCCTGACGGCAGGGCCAAGCACCGTCTAGACAGGCGTCAGTCCAACCGGATGAGGAGAATCAGGCCCCCGGGGCCCGGCCTCTGTAACCAGCGTCCCCCCGGTCCCTCCTGCCCCCGGCCAAAGGCCGGCCCCTGCTTACACCCAGGAGTGGGCAAGGCAACCTGCAGCCGAGACGCGAACGAGCCAGACACCCGTTGTGCCTCCTGCAACCCACTGAACTCAGCCGCCCAGCGGCTCCCCCCACTGGCTGCCGGCTCCGGCCACAGAGCTGCTCGTAGCTGAAGGTTCAGAGGTTTGTAAGGTCAGACGGGGTCACCATGATCTCGTCCGACCTCCCATGTGCCGTGGCTCCCCCCCTCAATTCGGCCTCCCGCCCACCGGGCGTCCCTC